TTTTTTTTTTTTTTAATGATTTTGAGTTTTGGTCCACATTGTTCTCCCATTCTATTCAGGATCTCCTAATAGATCCCCCTCCAAGTGGTTGACAGTGGTAGCTGGGTACCATGTAGTTCTTCTGGTCTCATATAGGCTGTGGATTGTGTGGTGTGCCAGTCCCTTGGACTAATTCTTTCCATGAATCTTTGGTTTTCTTCATTCTGCTTTGCTCTGGACTAGGAGAGACCCATCATTGCATCTAGATGGCCTCTTACAAGCTTTTAAGATCCCAGTTGCTACTTGCCAAAGTAGGATGTGGAACTAGGTTTTTCTGTAGTATATTATATCAATTTAGCTTGATGTCCCCTGAGACTGTGGTCCCGAGCCCAACTACTCATTCCCTCTGGGTAGGTGGCTGTGGCCAAGAAGTGACTACAACCTGGTCCCTTGTCAGCTCTACTATATACCTGGGAATTCTTACAGAACATACAAATACATTCATAGAAACATTGTCTGCCAACTCGACACATGTCATGGGCACACTCCCCTCTGCATAGACATATCTGATAGTTCAGTCTGTCCACTCATCTATCCACCTGTAGATCAATGTGTGCCATCACTGACAACATAGTACTGTATGTTCAAAAGGGTTCATCTTTGTTGTCTGTACCTCCCATGCACCTCTCTCTGTCTTCCTCTTCCTCAATGCTACTGTGTTGATCACTCACATTTGGTACATTGCCCTTCTCTCCACCCAAATAAATACTTATCTCTACCTATCTAACAGTGTTCCCTACCCTCACCTCCTGTCCCTGGTAACCAAAAAAGAAAATTTCCTTCCATATATAAACCTTTCCTTGAATTTTTACAATAATAGACTAATACAATATTTATCCTTCTGTGATTGACTTATTTCACTCAGTATAATGTTCTGGGAGCCTTCTTTAGCTGCATCCCTTATGCACACTATAATCCCAACATATCACTTAAATTTGCATGGCTGGGTCTGGCCTGGGAAAAGTTGGCCCCCTCTAGGTCCTCTCAGATCCCAGGCTGGCTCTCCAATTGGCAGAGCCTGCCGTAGGCCCATTCCAGGACCCCCTCCTCCCTGGGCAATCTAACTCCAGATTTATGTCTCAGAGAAATTATGGGACCCACCTATGCTAATTCTGGGGAGTGGGCTTTGCTGTCTTCAAACTGGTAGAAATATTTATAAACTTGCAGACTGTCCTCAGGTCAGGCATAATACTCCAGACTACCGAGTTTTACTTGTGTGCAAGAGTGATACAGCTGATGCCAGCACTAAAGCTGAGCTGCTGTTCGTGGTTGTGAGTTTCAGTCCCAGTCCGGAGTCAGGTTAGCACCCAGAGTGTAGACCTGTGTTAATCTGCACAGGGACTTCTAGGCTCTTAACACACCTGCCCAATGTGTTTATCATAAATTGTCATCAGCAAGAGGGTTTTCAGGCTCTGAAGAAGGGAATTCAGTCCAGAAAAAGTAGAGAAGGTTGAGGACTCCTGCTTTGGACTGTGAAGAGCCACAAAGCATGGAGCTCTTTAAGCTTCTGGCCTTTGATGGAGTGCTTGTCCCTCTTCCCCAGGGAGAATCAATGAAAAGGGAACTTCTGGAACTGAGAACCAAACTCTCCAAACATGAGAGCCTCCTTCAGAGCACCACTGAGCAACTGAAGACTGCCAACGAGCAGAAGGAGAGCATGGAGCGGTTTATCTTCAGCCAGTGTAGGTGCCCAGAGCCAGGGGAAGTGGTCTCCGGGACCCCCTGCTCGTGTTGCTGAGGAACAGTGACCTGAGGGCCTAGGGATGTCAAGAGTAAGGGGAGACTGATGTGCTGTCCCTGAACCCCCTACGCCATCAGTAACAGAGGGCGGGGAGGATCAGGGACAGTGAGGGATTCCAACCTGAGTGGCCAGGAACACTTTAGAGAGCACCTGCCAGAGCAAGTGTAGGCTCAGCTGGGAATTTCTGCTTTCTTGAGCTGTTTTGTTGTTTCAGTGACCAGGACACATGATGTTTTGAAGAAGGCGAGGACTAACTTGGAGGTAAGGCACCAGTCAGAGCCACTGAGCCACCCAAACCATCACCATGGATCATTAGAGGCTGCAGGTGGTCCTGCACCTGCTCTGACTTCCCCAGGGAGTTCTGGTCACTCCTAGCATCACAGAAGCATCCTTCTGGATTCCATTTCCATCTTCCCCCTAGCCAACCTCCTTCCCTAACATTTCTATCTGCTCTCATGTTGTCATTATTTTTTCTTCTTTTTGTTCCAATCTCCCTTTCTTTATGCAGTTCATTGATACTTGAGGTCGGAGGACAGAGAGGACTCAGCCTGGGGATTAGCTTTCAGGAAGGAGGTCCTGAGCCCCTTATGTGTTCTGGTGATTCCTGTGCTACTGTATGAAAAATTAAAAGCAAGGTGCCACCTAAGAAGTTGATTTCACTGTGGAGCTGAGACCCACAATTCTATTTTAATATTTATTTTTCTTTAAGAAACATCAGAGAGGACAGCCCTTGGGTGTTAACTGATAAACAAAAAAAAAATTGATTACAAAGAAAACTAGAATCTCAAGTGAAAAGATGTTATATGTGTGTCATACATTCCTACATTTACTTAACAAGAGCTTAGTCATACCTTAGCAAATATTTTGAAGAAAAACTTGAGGTATGTGACATGGCTTAAAAACCAGAAAATAGGGCTCTAAACTTCGGTTTAAAGCTTTGCTATAAGCAATTGAGCATATTCCTAGAAACATTCTTAAATTGTGACCTGCCGTTATCCACAGTGTGAAAATGGGTTGGGCTATGATTTCATGCTGCTTTTCTTTTTTCTTTTTTTTTTTTTTGCTAATTCCCTTTTATTTTCCCTCTGATAATTCCTCTCTTTCCTGAGCCTCTTTAGAAGAACACTTACAAGATTTCTTCTGTAAAGCCTTATTCCTGTCCAGGCAAAGGTAACCCAACAGCCTCAAGTCCCTTTGGGAAGCTTTCCTCCTTACTTTCATGAGACCATGTAAAGGGCCTGAGGCCTGGGTTCTAACCCCATTCTGGTCACTAACTGGCTGTGTGGCTTTGGCTGGCCCCTTCACCTCTGCGAGTCTGCTGCCCACCACCTGTAAAAGGTGGAACTAAACTTAGATGATCTCTGATGCCTTGCTGACTTGTCTCCTTCCTTTCCTCGTGAATGTCAATCAGACATGATCTTAACAGGCGAATTTCCTTGCAAAATGTTCTCTCCTTCCCACAACAGGCTTATTTCATGTGTGCATGTCTCACGCTAAACACTTCTTTCCTGGGGGGTGACAAAGGCCATCATTTTGCTTCAGACAAAGTGGACTGAGAGTGGATTGTGCCCTGAGGAGGCACTGGTGGGACCTCGCCCTCTAGTCTGAAATGGCTTTGAGCAGCGACATCACCAGCACAGGGTGGTGGGGTGGGGGAGAGTCCTCTAACTTTGGGAGATCTGTTGCCCCTGCATATTACAGCACGTCCCCTGAGCTCATCCTCTTAACAGGCTCTCACCATGCTCCTGGCCTTGTCTCCATTTATCACTCATTGCAGCCTCAGTAGCCCTTAGCAAGGCCTGACCATAGATCCATACTGTGGTTGCTCTCCTTTCTGTCTCCAGGTGAAATCCCTACGGGCTCTGTCGTGCACTCCAGTCTTGTGACCCTTGCCTTCCAGGGGCCGTGCAAGAAGCGAAGCCACCAGAGGTCCTTAAAACAGCAGGAAGGATGGTCTTGCCCTCCTTTGGCACAGCTACCTATCTACTGAGGATGGTCTGGGCCCCATTCCAGCAGACCTGCTGGAGTATCCAGAAGGAATCAGAGATGCATTTTGGTAGGGCAGGAGAAGGCAAGAAGCCTTCCCTGCAGTTAAGGAATATCATCAGCCAAGACCACCTTGCCCAGCACAAAGCCAAACATACCTAGTTTGCATGCAGGACCTTGTGACACTGCTTCTAAGTAGCCTCAGCGCATTTCGAATAAGCTACAGCACAAGTTTGTTGCCTCAGCACCTATCCTCAGATGCTCCATTCAGGAGAAATAGCATCCTGCTGCTTATGAACGGGGCGAGTGTCCCAGCACCAGAGCACCTCAGGCAATTCTGAAAGCACAGCACTGAGCAGTGGGGTTGATGGACAAGGGTTGGCAGAGGCTGTGTGAGCCCCATCCACGTCTCATACTGACCTGGCCCTGCTCAGTTGGGTCACAGCCAGGATGGGCTCAGTCAGCACCACAGCACCTGAGTGCTCCAAGAACACACGGTGAAAGCAGCAACTTCCCAGAGGCCGGCTCATGCTGAGCACAGCACCTCCTGTTCTGTTCTTTATGATCCCAGACTGTACTGACCACACTCTAAACATGCTATCTGTCACCCCCACTTCCCTATGGGGAAGTGGGGACTGATGGCCAAAACAAGCCCATTAAATGTCTTGCGGGAAGCAAACCTATACTCATTTTAAGTGGCAGATGAGAGGCCCCCAGTTGTGCTACAGCCTAGATTGTGTCTTCACAGTGCTTGTAGGATGTGTGGATGTGTGTATAAATGTATGATAGATATTTATATATGTTGCTACAGTGATACGTTGAAGGTCAACATAACTGGTGGACAGGGTCTTTGAGAGGAAGTCAAACAGTGGCTATTAAAGCAAAATATGTATAAAGAAATAGTTTCTCTTTGCCTGGCTTTGTTTCCCATTTCTGCACCAGTCTCTGGGCTGAGTGATAAGAATAGGAGAGACAAACTGTTGTTATGGAGCTCACAGTCTAATGTTTGAAGTTTAAGTTTAACAGAATAAGTATTTCTCTTGTCATTTGGGAAGAATTCCTGGACTAGAAATATGGAGGCCAGGTTCTTAAATTTGGTGTGCTGTGGGGAGCCCGGTGGTAGTACAAACAGTTAGTGCCCTTGACCGCCAACCAAATGGCTGGAGGTTTGAACCGACCCAGAGGCACCTTGGGGGTAAGGTCTGGTGACCTACTTCCAAAACGTCAGCCACTGAAAACTCTGTGGAATACAGTTCTACTCTGACACCCATGGGGTCGCCATGAGTCCTCTCTACGGCAACTATAGAGACATCTGTGGAGGTTGGAGGAGCTACTTCTTGGGCTTCAAGCCCAAGACATTTAGTTGACTGAGGCCCTTGAATCTGCAAGATTTACACAAGCACGTCAGGTTATTTTTATGCAGGTGGGCTGTCAATCATAAATTAAAAAACATTGTTCTATGACATTGAATAAAACTGTAAGTCTGTTTAACCTTAATTAAGAAACCTTTATTGAAAAATATACACAATAATCAATATACCATAAATAAAGACATCAAGATCCTAAAATATTCCTTGGGAAAAGTGCTTACTTATGTTCTTTTGCCTTTAAAATTAAAATAAAGCTGCCACTCCACAATAATTTCCTAGACACAAAACCAAAAACCAAACTGACTGCCATCGAGTTGATTCTGACTCATAGCAACTCCCATTGGGTTTCCCAGGCAGTAAATGTTTACAGAAGTAGATTGGCCCATCTTCCTTCTGCAGAGGAACTGGTGGGTTTGAACCGCCAACCTTCTGGTTAGCAGTCAAATGCCTTAGGCACTGCACCACCAGAGCTCCTTTTCCTAGAAACAGTTTAGAAAAATAAAACAACCATAGAAATAAAATCAACCACAATCACCCCCACTACCACCACCAACAAAAAGATGCATCAAGAGCTGGAGGTAGAGACATACATCCCCTTCTTTGACAGTGAAATGGAGAGTACTCAACGTCTGCTTTTACATTCATTTGTCTAAGTATTTCTATGAGTGCCTTTAGCTTTTTTTTTTTTTCCCCCAAATACAGAGGAACTGCTGGCAGAAACAGCTGAATGAATGGTCAGAAGACCATTAAACCATAAAGACGAAGTAGCAAAATTCGAGGACTCCTTGCCCTCTGGTTATTCAGCAATTCTCCTTCATCACTATGCTACCAGGACTGGGAGACCATGAAAATATGATCAGTTTCAATGGACAATTCAAATTTCTATGAAATTCATTTTATTAACTACAAACATGTACAAAAGGCACAGCATATTACATTATCTAAGTCTCAGATCTGCTCAGGATCTAATCACAAATTACTTTTTTGAGAAAAATTTTAAAAGCCATCCGTATATTCTATCCATCCTTTGTGAAAATGTTTAAAAGTAGTGCTATGCCTTAATAGCGAGCTCTGGTGGCATAGTGCCTAAGGCATTTGACTGCTAACCAGAAGATTGATGGTTCAAACCCACCAGCCACTCTTCAGAAGGAAGATTGGGCAATCTACTTCCGTAGTGATACCGCCTTAGAAACCCAAGGAGGGGTCGCTATGAGTAGAAATCAACTCGACAGCAGTGAGTTTGTTTTTTTATGCCTTAAAAAATGGTTATAGAAATTGAGAGGAGAATTCTCTAATATTTGACATTTTATAAATTATATTCTTTCCCTCTTTGTGACAGAAACAGAGCTCATTCTTTAAAAAATACCAACCAGTATCTTCTAATTTACCATTAGTCAAATAAGAACAATGCCAAGCCCTGTGCAGAGAGGACTGTGAGCTCCTACAAAAAGTGATGGAAGGAAAAAGGATGGTAGTTACCTAATGGAACACTTTTAAGTAAAAAAGTAAAAATACCTCCTGACCTGTCCTCCTAAGACTTACAATGTTTATACAGGCTTTATTGTTTCCCTCATGTTATTATTGCAAAGGCAAATGAGCCAGGCACTTGCACTCTTTTCTGCTACTACCCTAACAAATTACTGCAAACATAGTGGCTTAACATAACACATATTGTCTTACAGTTTTATAGGTTAGAAATCCAACAGGCATCTCACTGACCCAAAATCAAGGTGTTATTAGGGCTACCTTCCATTCTGGGGGCTCTAGGCCTTTTCCAGTTTCTAGAGGCTGCCCACATTCCTTGGCTTGTGGCTTCCTTCTGCCATCTTTAAAACCGGAATGGCGGATGAAATTCTACTCTTATATCATTGCTCTGACCTCTGTTGCTACCTCCCTCTTCCACTGTTAAGGAGCTCTGGTGGCACAGTGCCTAAGGCAATTTGACTGCTAGCCAGAATATTGATGGTTCAAACCCACTAGATACTCTGCAGAAGGAAGACCAGACAATCTATTTCCATAAAGATTTACCACCTCAGAAACCCAATGGGTGTTGCTATGAGTCAGAATTGACTTGATAGCAGTGGGTTTGGTTTTTTGGTTTTTCTTCCACTGTTAAGGACCCTGGTGATTCTATTGATCCCACTTGGATAATCCCCCTATTTCAAGGTCTTTCATTTAATCACATCTATAGATTCCCTTTTTCTATTACAGGTTCCAGAGATTATGAGGCAGACATCCTGGGAAGGAGGCCTGTTATTCTGCCGATGGCAACACTGTTAACTCAGGTGCCAACTCTTAGTAGAACTAAGAAAATTTCTGTAATTTCAAGACTGTTTAGTAAAATTAGGGTAGGTTTCTACCTCAAAGGCAACACAAATGAAGACAAAGCCCAAATGAGATCTCTAGAAATGCTTTGTTGATGGCCATGGGGTTGCAAAAGTACTAGTCTTTTTAGTTTTTTTTGTTTGTTTGTTTATTTTTTAAGAGCTCAGAGTTGTTTTCTCTAAAGGCTGTGTTTGGTTGCAGAAATCACCTCATAGGCAAAGAGCTTGCTATGAGGATCGGAATGTGGTTCATCTGGGCCCCTATAGACTTTAACTATGAACCTTCACTTAGGTCTAAATAGGGCATTTGGGTTGGTTTTCTGAGGAGCTGCCCTTGTCCGGAGGAGCTCTAGTGGCATAGTGGTTAAAGTATTTGGCTGTTAACCAAAAGGTCAGCAGTTGAAGCCCCCCAGCCACTCTGTGGGAGAAAGATGAGGCAGTCTGCTTCTGTAAAGATTTACAGCCTTGAAAATTCTATGGGGCAGTTCTATGCTGCCCCATTAGATCAGTATGAGTCAGAATAGACTGAAAGGCATTTTTTTTTTCTTTCTTTCTTTATCCTTGCCTGGCCTGCCAGGTGCATATTCCTCCTGGGGCCATGTGGAGCTCCGTGTACCATCTTTACAGGGCCACGAGGAAGCACTGTGGTCTTTCCTCTTGGAACCAAGACTTCTAAAGAATCTGAGGGCTATGTTTTCAATGCTTAGGTATATTGCAAGTCAGATGTTAGCAAAGTGGGACCAGAGGTTCTTGAGTTTTGGTCATATGCCCTGCACTGCCTCACCTCAGGGGTTGGCTGTGGAGCCCCTTGTTTTGGTTTGCCCACAAAAGGATTCTGACCACAGAGGAATATCCAAGCTTCTCCTGCTGAAGGAAAGTATTCCCTCATCACCTTCCTTTCAGCCTGGGTCAGCCCATTTCTAAGTTAGTCTCCATGGTGTGGTAGAGAAGGAGGACCCATAACAAAAAGGCAGGAGAGGAGGAGGTGGAGGAGGTTAGCAAGGATGGGGAGGTGAGAGGGGTTGGCAAACAGGGTGGAAGGGGCAGAATATGGGAGCACGGGGAGAGGAGGAGGGGAACTGAGAGCTGAATGCCATGATGGTGCTATTGACAGGCCACAGAATGGCAGCCTGTGTCTCTGGAACCCTTCTCCTCACCCTAGTGTCTCATTGCCTGGCCCCATTTTTCCCCACAGGAATAGCCTAT